AAACAGAGCGTCGCTTTTACATGCTATTGGAAACGCCTCTTGTTGCACTAGTCATACGATGAAATACAAGCCTGAGTGCTGATTAGAAGTAGCGGATGTGTAGCCATGCTGTTTTTCTCAACATTCACTAAAATGGTGTCACATATCCTGACACGATATATCTTGACAAGAATCAGTACAGACGAATGTCGTCCTGTTGCTGTTACCCCAGGTCAGTTACCATATCATATAATTCTAACCATACCGGGTCTATATCATCTACTTCTGACCATACAGGGTCTATATCACCTACTTCTAACCATACAGGGTCTATATCACCTACTTCTAACCATACAGGGTCTATATCATCTACTTCTAAACATACAGGGTCTATATCACCTACTTCTAAACATACAGGGTCTATATCACCTACTTCTAACCATACAGGGTCCATATCACCTACTTCTGACCATACAGGGTCCATATCACCTACTTCTAACCATACAGGGTCTATATCACCTACTTCTAACCATACAGGGTCTATATCACCTACTTCTAACCATACAGGGTCCATATCACCTACTTCTAACCATACAGGGTCCATATCACCTACTTCTAACCATACAGGGTCTATATCACCTACTTATAACCATACAGGGTCCATATCACCCACTTCTGACCATACAGGGTCTATATCACCTACTTCTAACCATACAGGGTCTATATCACCTACTTCTAAACATACAGGGTCTATATCACCTAATTCTAACCATACAGGGTCTATATCACCTACTTCTAAACATACAGGGTCCATATCACCTACTTCTAACCATACAGGGTCTATATCACCTACTTCTAACCATACAGGGTCTATATCACCTACTTCTAACCATACAGGGTCTATATCACCTACTTCTAACCATACAGGGTCTATATCACCTACTTCTAACCATACAGGGTCTATATCACCTACTTCTAACCTTACCGGGTCTATATCACCTACTTCTAACCATACCGGGTCTATATCACCTACTTCTAACCATACCGGGTCTATATCACCTACTTCTAAACATACAGGGTCTATATCACCTACAATTTGTACTTCTAACCATACAGGGTCTATAACACCTACTTCTAACCTTACAGGGTCCATATCACCTACTTCTAACCATACAGGGACTATAACACCTACTTCTAACCTTACAGGGTCCATAGCACCTACTTCTAACCTTACCGGGTCTATATCACCTACTTCTAAACATAGAGGGTCTATATCACCTACAATTTGTACTTCTAACCATACAGGGTCTATAACACCTACTTCTAACCTTACAGGGTCTATATCACCTACTTCTAACCTTACCGGGTCTATATCACCTACTTCTAACCATACAGGGTCTATATCACCTACTTCTAATCGTACAGGGTCTATATCACCTACTTCTAAACATACAGGGTCTATATCACCTACCTATCACCTACTTCTAAACATACAGGGTCTATATCACCTACTTCTGACCATACAGGGTCTATATCACCTACTTCTAACCATACCGGGTCTATATCACCTACTTCTAACCTTACCGGGTCTATATCACCTACTTCTAACCATACCGGGTCTATATCACCTACTTCTAAACATACAGGGTCTATATCACCTACAATTTGTACTTCTAACCATACAGGGTCTATATCACCTACTTCTAACCATATAGGGTCTATATCACCTACTTCTAACCATACAGGGTCTATATCACCTACTTCTAACCATACAGGGTCTATATCACCTACTTCTAAACATAGAGGGTCTATATCACCTACAATTTGTACTTCTAACCATACAGGGTATATAACACCCACTTCTAACATTACAGGGTCTATATCACCTACTTCTAACCTTACCGGGTCTATGTCACCTACTTCTAACCATACAGGGTCTATATTACTTACTTCTAATCGTACAGGGTCTATAACACCTACTTCTAACCTTACCGGGTCTATATCACCTACTTCTAACCATACAGGGTCCATATCACCTACTTCTAACCATACAGGGTCTATATCACCTACTTCTAATCGTACAGGGTCTATATCACCTACTTCTAAACATACAGGGTCTATATCACCTACTTATCACCTACTTCTAACCATACAGGGTCTATATCACCTACTTCTAAACATACAGGGTCTATATCACCTACTTCTGACCATACAGGGTCTATATCACCTACTTCTAAACATACAGGGTCTATATCACTTTTTTAAAATTCCGCGTTCCTATTTGCTGCGATTTGGCTAAAAGTTTAAACAGCAAAAGTTATATTTTTCACGGAAGTCTTGAAAAAGACAATCCTTTTCTACATTCACTTCAATTTCAAGCAACTATTTCATTACAACCTCGGAAATGGAGAAAAGTACACTCACTCGGACCAGGGACTATATCATATATGACTAACCCTGGATTACATCACTGATATCTAACCAAGGAGCAAATACAGCCTGTTTTATCAGAAACTATCACAAAACTATAGTCTATATCACCCACCTCTAACCCGAGACCTCACAGTCTGTGTTTTACTAGAGTCTTGCTATATAACATTCCTGTAACCAGAGAATATATAAATGGCCTCTAACAAGGGACAATGTAATTGATCCTTAACCAGAGACTATATAACCTGGCAGTTGCCAGGGACAATATATTACCAGTAGCTATATATCTTGTCTTTTAACAGATGCAATATTACCTTTCTCCTACCATTGAACAGCTCTTACCGGTAATTGTGTAACCTATCTATGACCAGAGACAATATAACCTATTTGTAAACACTGTCCACACATCAGCACTAACCACTAACGATAGAACCTATCTCTGAACCAGGACGATATGACAAACAGTTACCACATATTTGCAATAACAAGATATTACAACTATGTAACATGTCTTTTAACAGAGACAAGATATTCTGCTTCTAATAAGAATATGTAACTTTATAACTGATCTAACCAGTGACTATATAACTGATCTAACTAGTGACTATATAACTGATCTAATTAGTGACTATATAACTGATCTAACTAGTGACTATATAACTGATCTAACCAGTGTCTATATAACTGATCTAACTAGTGACTATATAACTGATCTAACTAGTGACTATATAACTGATCTAACTAGTGACTATATAACTGATCTAACTAGTGACTGTATAACTGATCTAACTAGTGACTATATAACTGATCTAACCAGTGACTATATAACTGATCTAAGTAGTGACTATATAACTGATCTAACTAGTGACTGTATAACTGATCTAACTAGTGACTATATAACTGATCTAACTAGTGACTATATAACTGATCTAACCAGTGTCTATATAACTGATCTAACCAGTGACTATATAACTGATCTAAGTAGTGACTATATAATTGATCTAACCAGTGACTATATAACTGATTTAACTAGTGACTATATAACTGATCTAACTAGTGACTATATAACTGATCTAACCAGTGTCTATATAACTGATCTAACTAGTGACTATATAACTGATCTAACCAGTGTCTATATAACTGATCTAACCAGTGTCTATATAACTGATCTAACTAGTGACTATATAACTGATCTAACTATAATTGATTTAACTAATGAATACATATTTAATCTAACCAGTGACTATATAACTAAACAAAGTAGTGACTTTATGTATATTCATAGAAGTTACTATACACTCTATCTTGAAACTACATGTCTTGTCTCTAACCAGGGACATCATAATCACATCTACATCGGGCGTTGAAGGCCTAGACTTGTCTCTAACCAGGGACATCATTATCACATCTAACTCTTGCGTTGAAGGCCTAGACTTGTCTCTAACCAGGGACATCATTATCACATCTAACTCTTGCGTTGAAGGCCTAGACTTGTCTCTAACCAGGGACATCATAATCACATCTACATCGGGCGTTGAAGGCCTAGACTTGTCCCTAACCATGGACATCATAATCACATCTACCTCGGGCGTTGAAGGCCTAGACTTGTCCCTAACCATGGACATCATAATCACATCTACCTCGGGCGTTGAAGGCCTAGACTTGTCTCTAACCAGGGACATCATTATCACATCTAACTCTTGCGTTGAAGGCCTAGACTTGTCTCTAACCAGGGACATCATTATCACATCTAACTCTTGCGTTGAAGGCCTAGACTTGTCTCTAACCAGGGACATCATTATCACATCTAACTCTTGCGTTGAAGGCATAGACTTGACTCTAACCAGGGACATCATAATCACATCTACATCGGGCGTTGAAGGCCTAGACTTGTCCCTAACCATGGACATCATAATCACATCTACCTCGGGCGTTGAAGGCCTAGACTTGTCTCTAACCAGAGACTTCATAATCACATCTTACTCGGGCGTTGAAGCCCCTAAACGCACGTTTGACACTTGATTCATCGTCACACTTAACTCTGTAAGTTGAATCGATTCTATTCCACTTGTGACAGAGTAACTGGCAAATTGGGGTTATAAGCTCAGAAAAGTTCCGCCAAACTGCCTACTCAATATGATGGATTAACCCTCAGAGAGAAATAACGGACGACGCTGATCTCCACAGTATTGCTCACTCTCTACCTCTAACGATATACTGCCGTCATAATGTTCCTGATAGTACGGTCTCACTCTTAAATCTCCCTGCATATACTTGAAATCACCCCTATAAAGACAATATCAACGACAATTATCTCCACGCTGAATTACATAAGTCGAGGGAGGTACTCTGAATCCTGACAAGGTGAATGAATTACACGTCTTTACATAATTCTTGTAGGTATAGTCTTTCAAACTGAACCTGATGACTGACAAATATAACTCCACTACAAATATATTAGTTATTATCAATTATTACACCTATACTTTGTATAGATTTTAAGACAAGCTTCTTGATACATAAATCTCCATTTAGATTTTATGATAGAGGTAGGATTTTACCACATGTACCGGCCAACCGCCACCGACCACATGGAACAGCGAACAACCAGCACCGACCACATGGAACAGCAAACAACCAGCACCGACCACATGGAACAGCGAACAACCAGCACCGACCACATGGAACAGCAAACAACCAGCACCGACCACATGGAACAGCGAACAACCAGCACCGACCACATGGAACAGCAAACAACCAGCAGCCGCACCACACATGGAAAAAACAACCAGCACCGATCACATGGAACAGCGAACAACCGCCACCGACCACATGGAAAAACGAACAACCAGCACCGACCACATGGAAAAGCAAACAACCAGCACCGACCACATGGAACAGCGAACAACCAGCACCGATCACATGGAACAGCGAACAACCAGCACCGACCACATGGAACAGCGAACAACCAGCACCGACCACATGGAACAGCGAACAACCGGCACCGACCACATGGAACAGCGAACAACCAGCACCGACCACATGGAAAAGCAAACAACCGCCATCGACCACATGGAACAGCGAACAACCGGCACCGACCACATGGAACAGCGAACAACCAGCACCGACCAAATGGAACAGCGAATAACCAGCACCGACCACCTGGAACAGCGAACAACCAGCACCGACCACATAGAACAAAGAACAATCGGTACCTACCACATGGAACAAAGGACACCGACCACATGGAACAGCGAACAATCGGTACTTACCACATAAAATGACGAATGACCGGCAAAGACCACATGCGATAACAAATGAATGGCAGCGACCACATGCGATAACGAACAACAGACACCGGCCACATCGAACAACCAACAACCAACACTGACCACATATCTCTGCTATCAAAAATGAAACGTTACGGACGGATAAACTAATGAGGAAACAGAACAGGACTTCAATCGTAACATAAAAAAGATTTTTACCGTAAAATATATTACAAGTGGAAAAAAGACTGACGAGGCTAAATGTTAATCTTTGCTCCTATTCCGATATTTATCATGAAGTTATATATTTGTTGTAAAATTTTTCTGAATCTGAAACAAATGGGGACATTTAGGACATGATGGTATGCAAGGTGCTGTACTTGTTATATACACGTAAGTCGTAAATGAGAGGAAGCGATTTATCTTCACAATTCTTTTTTTCATCATCACATAGGGTTTAGTTATAAATCATTGTTAATCATATTTAAAAAAAAAATCAGTTTTGTTTGATAATCTGTACCCTGGATTTTCCGTTTGAATGTAAATATTGATGTGCACTAAAGACATACTCTGTATAATCCATTGCATTACAGTTAATGGAAATCAATAATCAAACATGGATTACTTGATATTATTCATTAGCTCAGAGAAGAGAATTCGGCAAAACTAGGATCCCATATTATTTTAAGAATTGCTGCATCGAGTGTTAAATAAACGCTATCATGATATATTTCTCACAGATGGTATCATAAAGTCTTGTTGCCTCATGTGGTATTTGTAATCAGGGACACATCTCATTCCATCAAACGTCCTAAGTGTGAAGGAGAAGGAACAACGGAAGTAGCCAAATGCAAAGCAACAGAAACGGTAAGGCATTGAAGAAGTTTACACATTTAAATAATCATACTCATCACACTTGTCTTGTACTTTTATATGTTGATAATGAAAAATAATTAACCGATAATCGATACATATTCATCTTTAATTACAAAGAGGTCTTTTATTTACTATAAAGCGACAGAGGATCAAACACAAGGTCATATTTATCCTCACAGAAGATCATAACTCTTATTGAAAATCATTTTGATATGGTAGATGCTAATATTGTCAATTGTTTGTACATACCATTCAAATCTCATTTGAGCAGGTTCGTTTAATGATTAAAAAATCTATACAGATGTAAAATGGTACTTTCTGTTTCAGTGAATTGCTGTCCGATTAGGCGTTTCCCCGTGCGGTGAGTATTTGTATGATCTATAAGATAGATTTGATATCGAGAAACGTACATGGGTATCGTTGTAACATGGAGTTTATGAGACGAGCAATAATATGGTATGTCACAAGCATTTAGGCGAGTGATATATCAAATGACTTCTCATGTTCAATAAATCCAATATATCGGCTGCAAGAATGTAAGATTATATTTATCTTATAATCCGCGTTTCTGTAAAATAAGCGAAAAATCCCAAATAGATTTCCAAGTAAGACGCGAAGGGAATATATATCACTACCGGGATAACCATGTGACGTCATCAAGACCAAAATTAATTACGACGCCACAATAATGTAATTACTTGTCTTACTGTATTTATAAAATGACCGTATGACGTCACACGACAGGCCAGTGAAGTGATGTAAACGATCACAGAATATTGTCTTTCTCAGAAGACATAAGGTAAATAATATGTTACAGCTGAAATGTTTGTCAGCATCCAAAACTTATACTTAAACTGAAAGACAAATATTTTAGTCCGCGCTTAGGCACCACACCGAACATATGAAGACCTGTCACAATGTCCAATACCTAACGTTGAATTCAACAGAAACCCAGGCTTCGTAGTTCGATCTATCTCTAACAACCTGCATTTTCTTACATTTTATTCATATCACCTTTGTATATTGATATTTTGTGGAATGTGTATGCGTGCGTCAAGTGTCTTAGAAAGCACTTTGGAATGAAAACACTAAAATAATAAAAATCCATCTTGGAAGAGTGAAATCGACTAGACACGGTTTAAGTCTCTTTCGCTAACCGTTGATAACGGGCATGCAATTCACCAAGGATCACAACCACACATAAAAACGTACTTTTAAGTCTGAACACTGAATCAAAATTTACTAGCCTTCTCTCATCCAATCCAATTGGGAATTACAGAATAGCTCGCGCCTGTCCATTTTTCAGTATTTCAGGTTTTTTTTTTACTTAACAGAAGTGAATGAACAGCATGTTCCTTTTGCCTGTTTCATTGGGTTTGCACTTTCGATCTTGCTAGATAATTTCATTACCTCTTTATTTATCTGATTTAGAAATAAATATGTTCCCGTTGAGAGTTTTAAATTTTTCAGGGCTTGCTCATTTAGAGTCAGCTAATTTAATTGCTGTCCATGGAAACAGCGGGTGATTGGATACACCCAGTTTCACTGGCCTTGGAATACCGACTTTTCTAGTTGAACAAGTTGGTTTAACGTAATACGAAAAAATCAATTGGAATTTGTACCAAAAAAATGCGAATCTTAGAGTGTTTATACTTCATTGGGAATATCAACTTTACTTTTGGAAGCTTTCATAGGTATATAATTTGATTAAAATGATATATTATAGAGAAACGTCTCGAATACAGATAGTGTACAAAGACACGTGTGAGTAACACCATTCAATACAGAGTTAGAAATAGTAGCGCCAAATAATGAACCACACGTCTTTTAAATAAATATAAACTTTATTTATTTTACAACAATTGCGAAACAAGTTATGTCAACTTATAATAATCACTCTTGTTGGCCCGGATGTAAGCGCGCGAGGGGTCTTATTGTGGGAGGAAACCGGAGTAACCGGGGAAAACCCACGTGGTCGGACAGGTGACCCCTTACCTTTTCACGTCCAGTTCCGGGAATCGAACCCCGGTCGGCTAGGTGAAAGGCGAGTGCGTTAACACTGCGCCACCCGACCACCCTTTTTCCCGACCGACCACACCGACCACCCGACCACACGTCTTTTTCGTCCTTCTAGAAGTAAAATCTGGTTCTAAGAATAAAATAATTAAAAACTAGGCTTTCTGTTGATTTCTTTCTGTGGATGTGTGCTATTTTGTTTAACCTATCAACAACATCAGCTGATACAGTATTACACAAGACTGAACTTAAAAAAAAAAAACCAAAATTTTTCATTTTTTTTTTCAAAATAATTATACATTATACATACGTTGAATATCTATATTGGTTTAACAGACAACCTCATGTAGGTGCGTTTGTACGGATATTCTATTCGGGTTACAGATTTCGGAACCGAGGTTTTGTGGCAAACAAGGAGGGAGATTGAGAAATCGATCTGAAAGTAGTGTGTAAATGAACGTTATACCAGATATGACAAAGGAGTATTTATACAACAAGCTGCTGTTGTAATGCTTGATTTATTTCTTTTTTCGTTTGCGTTGGTTTGTATTTTATTTTTTAAAATTTTTTTATGTATTTCATTTGTCTTGTTTTTTTCTTCTGGTTTTACATAACTTGCTAAATAAAACTTCCCCCTTTTTTTACAAACTTCTTCCTATTTACACGGCCGCACGTATTACTGACTGGCAGCTAACAGTGCCAGCTGCGTTTTTATCACATTTTTGTTGATTACGACTGAAATATGATTATTGTTGCGTTCTAATTATCAAAGATATTTCAACATTAGTGTGACATGTATCTCTCATAAACATATTACGACACCCGATTTAATACAGGTTTACAACTAATTGTTTCACTTCGCTAATTAGCAAGTGTTTGAAAGCATGTCGATATGTAGAGTAGAACATATGCTATTAAATAGAGAAAGAACATTACAAACGGTGTATATTGATAAATCAATTAACTTGATACATATGTTTGTCAATTAATTCATGGGTACTCTAGCCTGCGTTTGGCACTGTTTGTAATTTTGGAGAGCCCAATTATGCTGCTATTGATAATGTCTTACAATAATGACTATTAGAAGATAATTTCCTTAGGGAATATATGGAACCGAGGTCATACGGTTTAATCTTGCAAGACAAAATATGTGTATTTACAAAGTGTTCTGATTCATCTTAAAGACTTTAACGCCAAACTATGCCTTTCTATTTAATTGTCAAATAGATGCATATTTCCACAGCACTTCATAAGTAAAAAGGACATAATATGTTATAAATTTGATCTCATATTTGATATTCGTATCCTGACACGTTCTAAACATATTGAATATGTCTTTATCTAAATATACCGAAAGAGTGTAAAATTTGTGGGGCAGGGTTTTAAAACTGATTAATGTTTTATAAATTTTTGAGCGTTCCGAAAATTGTCCGTTTTAAGAGAAGCTTTATCATTGCATAGGCTTTACTTTAACGACCAGACCTTGGAGGGCGTCGTTTTATGGTATTACAGCACAAAAATCAAGCCAAATATTTGCAAACAGTAAACAACATAACTCCCAAATGAATTCTGTTTCGATCTGACCAATACAAACGTTTTCCCAAATTAACAAATCAATCAGCGTGTTTCTCATAAAGAAATTCTGTCGGAAACATATGCATATATATGTTTTCTCTGGAAATCCATTTTAGAAATTGGTAATTTGTCTGAATTTTTGGGTCATCTGTTGAGAATTATTGAAGCGTAATATGTCAATGTAGGCCATTTCTATTGGATTCGAATGATGTTTTCCAACATCAGTCATAAAAATTCACTGAATTGTAAAATTTAACGTCTTTGATGTTGAACAGAAATACGGGTTACTTATAATGTGACGTAACGGCGCATTCGATTTGTATTAATGCGTTGTTGACTTTCTCACGGTTGATTGACTCCCACCCATCAGAATCGTTATTGGATTATGAAGTGTATCGCGATATTAAATATCACTAAATAACGCCGTGAAATTAATCTGATGGAATTGACATAGATTGACAGATAGCTGGAGCCAGTTGTCAGAAATATTGCACACAATCATGCGCGCGACGTCAATCACATCACGGAGGCCCCAAAAGGGATGCATG